GAAGCCTACATCCACAGAAGGTCTGTGGTTAGTTCTCCAAGATGTTTGGAAAAACTTACCAGCCAAGTTCCTTCAAAAACTGTGTGCAAGTGTCCCTAGAAGAATGGATGCTGTTTTGAAGTCAAAGGGTGGTCACACCAAATATTGATTTGATTTAGATTTCTCTTTTGTTCATTCACAGCATTTTGTTGATTGACTTGATTAACACTTCCATTTTTATGCGTTCTTTGTGTACAGCATTTCCTCACTTGCCTAAAACCTTTGCACAGTAATGTATATTTATTGCACCTGCAGACGTTATTGGCCATGGAAACCTGTGCCACACACTTTTTGTGCTGATGTTAATGTCAGATAAAGTTTGGAACTCTATTAATACTACTCTGCTACTCTATTACTGCTTTAGCAAAGCACTAGTGACTTTTACTCTCTCTGAGTCTCAGGACTTGCTAACCCTGCTCTGTTACTTTGTGTGGTCTGCTACTTTTAAATTGCTGTGGTTCCCAAACCCTTGCAATAACACCACTTACAGTTGATAGCTAGGAGGCATGAAACTTAACAAATTGCAGCTCTGGCATCCTATTAAGGGCCACAGTTAAATCAGTGAGTTTTTTTGAAATAGCCCATTCCCAGACTGCATGACCAGGTTCTAGTTTATACACTTGTGGCAAACACAATAGCTTAAAAAGTTTGGAATGAATTCTGACAAAACCTTGTAGAGGTTTAACTGGCTAACATCTACAGACATCCACAGATGACAGTACGATGGTAGGTCATTATTATTTGTTTTATATATAATACAAAAACTACCAGGACTGAAATGAATAGCAACAGATTTTGTTCTATAACTTTAACATTATCCTACTCATGTAATTTAATCAACAACAAAAGTTGGGTCCTTGGTATTAAAATATAGCATAAGTGTAGGAAATAAAAGAAAAGGTAGTCTTCCACACTTGACCTGAACTTTCAGGTCTTAGATCAATTTCTAAAAGTGCTCTGGATATCAAAACTCAGTACTACAACACACAGGCTGGTGGTTTAGGGACAAAATATGAGAGAGTTTGAATCAAAAGTAAAAAATATGCAACACTTTGTTACATATTAGTATTTGACAATTTCAAGTATTAAAAGCTGGAAAAGTTTTTCTGTTTTAAATCCTATATAGAGACCCTCTGTTCCCATATCACCAAACCCCAAACCAAAAATCTGCAAAAATAACTTAAGTATTTAAAAAATGACAAAAAAAGAGCAATATACATCCTCAACCGGACCAAAATATAAAACAGTTATTTGTGAATTATGAAACACTACTAGGTCTATGTCTCTCTGTTCTAATTGCCTTTTAGTAAATGATTTAATAATTGATCCACATATTGATTCATTCTGCCTTACAGAGGCCTGGTTACAACAGGATGATTATGTTAGTTAAATGAATCAACACTCCTGAGTTATACCAATGTCAGAATCCTCGAAGTACAGGCCGAGGAGGAGGAGTAGCAGCAGCAATCTTCCACTCCAGCTTATTAATCAACCATAGACACAGAAAGAGTTTTAATTCATTTAAAAGCCAAAGACTTGGCCTTGTACACCATATACCATAATTAGAAAATGGCAAAAAATAGTTTGGTCCCACATTCGCTGTTGTGATTGGTGTGGGGGTAGGGATAGGCTTGGGGCGTCGGGGGATTCCCCAGGAGCGTCTTCCTTGGGGATGGCCTGGTCATGGCCTGTTAAGGGCTCTTAGGTGATGGTTTCCTCGTGGCTGCGTGCAGCGGGGATAGGGGAGGGTCTGTGCTGACGGACATGGGTTACTGACCTGGTAGCCTGGCTGCCCCTAGGTGGGTCCGGGGTGGGCATGGGGTTCTGGGGGTGCTCCGTCTCCGGGCCGGGACCCTGGCTGGGCCTTGGGAGCTTGTGTCCTGGTTGGTGTGTCACCGGGGTTGTGGGCGGGTGGGCATATGGGGGCTCAGCCCTGGTGCGGGTTGCCACCGGTGCATCACGCCACCTGAGGGTCTCTTTAACTGATGGGAGAGGCTGTTACATCTTTGCAGGAGGTCTCCTCTCTCCAGGAACTCACTCTGCAGGTGGGGGAGAGATATAAGAGAGGTGGAGGAAGAACTCAGCCTGGGTGTCTATTGTCTTGTGTAGTCTGGGAGATGAGTGGATGATGGGGTGGGTGCAGTTTTCTCTGTGGTGGGGTTGGATGGGCTGCCCCGGGCTCTGTGGGGCCGGGCGGCGCTGCTGACCTGGGCCCCGGTCCGGATGGGCCTGGGCCCCCTTGCCCTGGTAGGTTCCAGAGTGTGGGGGTGCCTACTGGGGTCAGCAGGGGAGCTAGCCCCCAGGGAGGGGCCTCTGTCCCCTTCTGGCTGCCTGTGCCACAATTTTATCTCACAACTTAGACATTCACATTACTCACACTCTCATAACACATACATATAGGACTTTGGGGGTGGGCACGCTACACGGCATCCAGAAGACCGTCAGGGTGTACGACCTCACCTCTGGCGCCGTTGCCCACCTCTCAATTTTAAATACACGTAGACATTGAGGGCTATCGGGAGGGGCTATGCGCTTACCTGCTGCTCTCTGGCAGGTAGCTCCATGCCCTCCTGGGTTTTAAATGCACCTTAGAACACACATGCATCAACACTACATATGAGCGGGGGAGGGAGGTTTGGAGTCTTCTCTACACCCCCTTCTCTGCCTTGCTGGAGCGGGGGGGCTGGGAGGAGGAGTTGGCCGTCCGATTGGGGTCTGGAATGTGGGGCCTCCCTGCTGCTGCTTCTCTCCACCCCAGGGAGGAGGGTAACACTACCTGGGTCTGGGTGCAGTTTCCCCCTCTAGGGGCAAGGGTACCTAGACCTGGGGTATAGAGTACGCTTGGGGAGTGTGATTGTGTGTACAGTGTCTATTTATGTCTGTCTCCACGTTGGGTGAGTGCTGAGTATTTGCATATAAGAGCATGAGGGTGGGAATGGATGTTGTATCTGTGTGTGCCTGTTTGTCTGTGTCTATATGTCAGGTCAGGTATCAGACGCCACCTCTCTAGGGACTATCATCCACTGATCCACTAAATCAGTTTCTATCTGATTTCTGGCACTATATAAATAAAACTGAATTGAAGTGATCTTTTTGAAATCACAATAGAATAGCATTTTATTTAGACAGAGACATTAAATAATAATATTTAATATCAAATCTTAGTTTGGGGAACTGATCACTGAAAGCATCAAAGTTTTACTTTTTCAGCCCTATTATTTAAGATTTTAAATTTATAAAAATCTTTAAGATTTTTATCTTTTGCTTTTTTATCGAAAGGAGACATGTCCAAAAAAAAAAAAAAAAAAAAAAAAAAAAGACCAGTAGCTAAACAGAAAAGGTACTGATCCTTCACAGGTTCAAAAGCATTATTTTATGGCACAGATCATGTAAGCTTCAGTGAGAGTCACATACTCTGATCACTGTTCTACGATCATTTAAAAGTAGAATGGGAGGCAGAGCCTTCAGTTTTCAGGCCCCTCTTCTGTGGAACCAGCTTCCAGTTTGGATTCGGGAGACAGACACTATCTCTACTTTCAAGATTAGGCTTAAAACTTTCCTTTTTGCTAAAGCATATAGTTAGGGCTGGACCAGGTGACCCTGAATCCTCCCTTAGTTATGCTGCAATAGATGTAGGCTGCCGGGGGATTCCCATGATGCATTGAGTTTTTCCTTTCCAGTCACCTTTCTCACTCACTATGTGATTAATAGACCTCTCTGCATTGAATCATATCTGTTATTAACCTCTGTCTCTCTTCCACAGCATGTCTTTATCCTGTCTTCCTTCTCTCACCCCAACCGGTCGCAGCAGATGGCCGCCCCTCCCTGAGCCTGGTTCTGCCGGAGGTTTCTTCCTGTTAAAAGGGAGTTTTTCCTTCCCACTGTCGCCAAAGTGCTTGCTCATAGGGGGTCATATGATTGTTGGGTTTTTCTCTGTATCTATGAAGCGCCTTGAGGCGACTTTTGTTGTGATTTGGCGCTATATAAATAAAATTGAATTGAATTGAATTGAATCTTTTACACTATATAGTCTATTTCCCTTAAGCCATTCACTGACAAAAAATAAGCATCTTCTTTGGGAACTAGTCTTCTTAATCTTTTGATCTTTAATTGTTGCCTTGCATCGTTTAATTGTGGCATTAATCAAAAAAGCTATTTATTTTAACTTTTCACTTAATTAAGCACAGCAAGATTGGTGAATTCTCTCAAATGTCAGTTCTTTTTTCTCAGGCACAGACTGTCTTTATCTTTCTCAAGGCTCACTTTATTGCAGACACTGCATTTTGCATGCAGAGAATATGTACATGTAGAAACTGCCTTGTGTGTGTGGGCGTGTGTGTGTGTGTGTGTGTGGGTGTGTGTGTGTGTGTGTGTGTGTGTGTGTGTGTGTGTGTGTGTGTGCGTGCGTGGGGTAACATGTTTGGTTGTGTGATGGAAACTGGTATAAACTAAAGAGAAGCTGATTAACCGATGTTGACATTAATGGTGGAATCCATGAGTGAAACAACACGTGGCCTACCTCTGACACAGATGAGCCTTTGGGGTTTATCAATCAGTATGTTGAATCAATAATAGCTAAATATAGAACAAAAGGTGGAGGGGTAGGAGGAGTGGGGCTTGTTAGTCAGTTTTCAGGATTTTGACCACTCTCATTACTTATTATTAACCTGCTGTAACCATATAGTACAATCGTAGGCTAAAGGCAATTGTTTCATCTTATTTATTTGCTTTATTATATTTATGCTTTATGCTCAAAACACACACACATATACACACAGACAATGGTTGCGCTGCTGTGCAACCACAGTATACAGACATTTTTCCATTCTCTTTTAGATAAAAAACTTTAGTATGCATCAGTGTGTAAAGACTTTTTAAATCCACAACATGACTGTATTACACAAGAAAAAATGAACAATGGATTATTAATTATTCACCTTTTCTCTCATTTTGTCTTCTAGTCATCGGGCACCAGTGTGGTGGTGGACATCGCAGTGATGGGTGAGGCTCATGGTTTGATCTCAGACCTGCTGGCAGACCCATTGTTGCCCCCTAACACCTGCAGCTCTCTGAAGGCTGTCAGCAATCTCCTCAGCACCCAGATCAACCTCCAGCCACTCCACCGACCTCGCATCCCTGCAGACACCCACACCTGCTCTGACTCTGAAGATGGGCCAGAAAAAACAGAGAGACTCGCTATTCCAAAGGTTATTGCTTGTCTTTCTAGAAAAGTTGAGTTTGTTCAGTTCTGGTTGTTTTGTGGAATTTTACTTACAGCTAAAAACAAAGTTTTGTCTGGTCTTCCAAAAGGAGAAGAAGAATCACTACTATTCAGTGTAAGATTTACAGTTATTGTAGATACAGATGTTTAACTGTTTAGTGTGCTAGGTAAAGCAGATAAACGTGAATAGAAAAATCAGTGCCAGTGCAAATTGTAGACACAGTTCTAAACCATAAATGTTAAAAGTAGGCTCAGTGGCTCACCCAGTAGTTTTTAGGCTACTGTTTTGAACACTTGTGTTTGTCCTGTTGCCGTCTTGTTTTTCTGCTTTTTATTTTAACTGTGACAATGCTTGGATAAAATATAAAAATATGTATTCCCCAAAGGTTGGTAAAAACTTCCTTTTTTACTTTAGTCGCATATTTATATTTTTTACAGATTTGTCTACAAACACTGCTCTCCAAGCTGTGAAACGTGCAAGCTAGAAATGGAGACATGTTTTTGAAACAGGCTGCAGAGCTGAGCTATAACTGTTTACTTTGAAGGCAAAGCTTGTTCATTTCTAATTTGCGTCACATATTTTCAAGTTTTGCATACCACTTGGTTAATAATTTGCAGGTTTTTGTAGACAAACATGAATAATGACAGGCAACCATGGCAACCTGCTAGCAACAAAACCAATCAGGGAGCAGTTTGTGGTGCAGCACCTTATTGCAACCAGTTTTACCAAGCAACAGCCAGAAAACTTTGGGAAACACATTTTTCCCTCGCTCAAAATAAATTTCTCCTCAAATTTTTTTTTTACATGAGCTCAGAATAGTGGCACAAAAATAACGCCATACCAAACAAGTAAAGGAGGATCTAACAAGGAAAGATACATGCCCAGCATTATATCAATCACAAGACATCCTCCCCCCCCCAATCTAAAAAAAGATCAATGGCTTTATTATCTATATTGTGAATATAATTCACAAAACTAACACTGAAACATGTGACTGATATCATAAACTTATCCAGAAAATGAGTAGTAAGGGCATAAGGAATAGCTCAAGTTAGAAAGAGAGTATTTTTTTCATATAAATCTTTTTACAACAAGAGGACTCATCTGCTGTCTGTTAGAAATAATGTAGGTTCAAGGCACTTCGCATCGGCTTTACTGTTCAGATTCGTAGACAGATTCATCCTTTATGTATTCTTTGTTTGTTTTAATTTCAAGGTTAAGAACCCCACTCAAAGTTTATGCAGAAAGATGAAGAAGTAAAAGGTTTTCATTGCTATATACTAGTGATGCTATTGATTGTACCTAAGCAGTGATGATCAGCAGATCACCCTAACCTTAAAGGTTCATGATTGCCCATGAATAACCAATGAATAGAGGGACATACAAAAAATGAAAACTGGCATTACTATTGTTATGCCAGACTTATTATACTTCCCTCTATTATATTGAGTGAGTAAAGTAAAAAGTATTAATAATGTGCTCATAAAAACACAAAAATATTTAATTATATATAAGCTATGTTTTTTTAGTTGTATTGTTGTACACACACACACACACACACACACACACACATACAGGTATTTACCAGGTATGTCTCTTTTGGCACATATCAGCGATCTTTTCCATTTCCTCCCTCACTGCTAGCCTGGTGGGGGCCTCTAAGATAACTAACAATGACGCAAATTCTTCCAGGGGGCTTTTTAATGTTTTACAAGGCCAGTGCTTCAAAATGTATGAAGGCACTTAACGTGAGCAAGGAAACTAAATAAAGTGTGTGATGCAATGCAGGACAGCCTACCAGGAAAGTGACTAGCAGCTTTAACAATGCCTGAGTGCACTCAAATGCCTGAGCCATGTAGTGGAACTCAATGAGATGCTGCCTCATTTTGGCTCACTGGGGATTTGTGAGACTGCATGTGGCAGTGGGTAATGTAGGTGATTCAACTCACTTGCACTGGCCTGTTGTATGGCTCTGAACTAAGGACAGAAATAGCAGTTACATAAAGGTAATCAGTACTATTGGTGACTGAGCTACAACTAAGCTTTGACCTTGCTCAGCGAGACAGCAAAACCCTGTTTTTTTCTTAAAAGTATGGGTACAATTTGTAGGTTTTGCTTGTAGTTCCTATTGAAAGTGTATCATTTGGCTGTTTATGTTATCAAGCTGCTACTGTTCAGGATATTTTTCTAATATTTAGCAACTTCCAGCTTCTGAACTAGCTCGTGTTAAACAAATTTTCTCTTTATATTACTCCTAGCAAACTTTGAAAATGGTTACATTTTTACAAAGTTACTATACGATTTTATAAGATTGGCTCATAACTTATTTTTTATGCAGTGAAACCAATTTTCAAGTTTTTTTGTCACTTTTTCAAGCTACATTATTGTTGCATGAAGATGTTTCAGATATGCCCTTTAAAGTGGAATACCCCATAGTAATAATAAAATTTACAATAGAAAAAGCGCCAACAGCCATTCTCTCTCAGCCCACCCTTTTCTCTTTTACTCGCCTCCTCAGTCATTCGTTCACACTCTGCTTGAGATCTTTGAATAGATTAAGTGCCACAGAGCAGAGTGAGCATGTGTGTATGTGAGGTTATCTGCTTGAGTGGATGCAAGTTTATTTTAGAAGAACATCAAATGTGATCCTCTGCTGCCCTCTATATTCTGCTGTAAATGTGTTTGTGTGCTCCCTTCAGAAAAATATGAGCTCATTAACTGCTCATGGATTTACAGAGAAATGTCTAACACTGGGTTGATTAACACCATGGGGACGTGGTGCATGTCTCCCTTCTACTCTCTTTCACAACTGTCAAGTGTGCTCAGGGTGACCCTGCTTTCATCTGTATCTGTGGCCTCCACCTACAAAGCCGTTCCCTTTTTTGGGGTTGCCTCTCCGGTGCACCGTTGTCACTTTCATTTGCACCAAAGTGGGTGAAATTGATTCACAGTGGTTTATGCTTCCTAACTGAAGGCAGTGATATCTCTGAAGTTTGACTGATTTTGACCACTGTGACGAAGAAGCATTCTCGTCATCATTTTTAAGCTGCGTTTTATTTAAAAAATCCCTTTACTTTTTAGAATTTCATAATGTTGCCTTAGCTACTTACCATTAGGTAACATCTACATGTTCATCTGTATTTCAGCGTCTCAGGCGGAGTCTTCCCCCAGGATTACTTAGGAGAATTTCATCAACTTGGACCACAACCACATCAGCTACAGGGCTGCCTACCATCGAGCCAGGCCCTGTACGCAGAGACCGCTCAGCCAGCAACAAACACACTACAGAAAGGTAACGCGTCTTACTCAGAAGGTTTAACATTACTGTAATTTCTTTATCTGACTTTTCTCCTCCAATAAACCAGTGATTTTTGGAACAACTCAGTGATGATGACCATCTCAAAGAGTCGCTCCATGTCTGCCTCCTGTGCTGCCTCTGTCACATCCAACCACCTGTACAGCAAACCACTGGGAAGACCAGGTGTGTGTCTGTGAATCTATTTTACTGCAGAGTGTAGAACATTTCAGTTATTTTGGGTAAAAACAAAACAAACAAACAAAAAAAGCGAGTATTGATTTACAATGCAATCTTTTTCAGGTTTCCCTCCCTCCAACATATCACCTCTGGGCTCTCCTTGCTCATCTCCTCCTGTCCAGGGCACTCCTGCCTCCAGCCCTACGATAAAAATATGTTCAGTGCAGCTTCCTGAGCCGGCTGGGCCACTAACAGAGCTAGTACCTGGCTCTGTGGCCCCCAAAAGCCACCACAGAACCTTAACTCACAGCCAGAGCGCTCCGAGCTCCACCACCACTCACTGGCGGCCTCCATCACTCTGCGGCAGGTAATTTACACGCTATCACATACTAAATCAGTTATTTACTTACAATATATAGAGCGATTCTGACCGCAGAAAATTTGATTGTACAATTTATGTGTCATCTGCGTGTGAGTGGGGGAAATTAGTCACTTCATTAGTTTGCTCTGAGAGGAAAGCAACATCCAAATTACCAGATGAGAGAGATCAATTAGGATGGACCGGTGTGTATACTCTGAATGCTTGTGTCTCTCTGCTCTCCGTTAGCTGTGGCAGGCCGTACAACAATCGACTAAACAACGGGGTAGAGTCTGAAGACAAAGGAGACAGAATACCCCACCCAGGTAATCAAGTAAAAAAATACATATTTTTCTGTTTATTCCAGATACAAATTAGAGCACAACTGATATTTCAGCAGATATCAGTTGTTTGTCAATCTACTGGTGTCGGTATTTACAGCAGCCAATAAATGTAAATTGAAAAAGTAAAGAAGAAACAACAGAAACACCCTTCAGTTATATACAGTTGCATAGTTTACGACATTCAAGCAGAATGTAAACAAAAAATCCACCACTCGTTATGGCAATAAAAGAGTTTGTTTTTGACACAAATTTTAGTAAGGACTCATAAATTTGTTTGTTTCATGTGTCTGAAACAAAAACATATCGGCTTACATATCGAGGTCTTTTAAGGTCTCGACCTTAAAATAATCTTATATAAGGCAGGATCTAAATCAAGGGCGCTTCACCTAGGACAGCTGAAGTTTTGGACATTTGGATTTTGATTATGTTTTCATGGAGTCATTATAAAAAAAAGGTCTTATAGTTAACATTAACATAGGTATAACTCCAGTTTTTAGTTAAACAGAAACATCTTTGTGTTTTAGTGATAATGTATTCTCAACAGAAGAAACACGTCTGTGTTCACTTCTAATGTGTTTAGTCCTTTTTAATGTGTCAAATCCAATGTGGCCATAAGTACTAGTGTGATTAAAGCTACCTTTCTAAATCGTGTCATCTTTTTCCAGATGAACGCGCAGTAGCGTCATCAGACTATGATAGCACGTACGACAGCACCTATGAGACCAACCACAGTGACAGCAGCGACTTTGCACAGAATGAAGAGGAAGCAGAGGGAGGCAAGAAGCCTCCTGAAGCAAGGGAAGGTTGCAGGGAGTATCCGAATGACGGCATTGTTCTTCACCCTGTCCTGCTCTCTTCAGAGGTAGACAATCAGACCTCACTTAATGTCCTTCCCCCCAAATAATTTCATTAAGAAGGAATAATTGAATCGACAATAAGAGCAGCACTACATCATTTGCGAATTATGTGAAACCATCTTATGATGTCATGAGCTAGCTATCCTCTATTAAGCAGCAACTATCTTTGAAAGTTACTTTAAAAAAGCTGGTTTTGCTTTAACAATATAAGTCAATGAGGCATAACATTACGGTCACCTGTCTAATATTGTGTTGTTCCACCTTTTGCTAGCAAAACAGGCTTGACCGATGGTGTGCTCTGGTATCTGGCAACAAGATGTTAGCAACAGATTCTTTAAGTCCTGTAAGTTGCCAGGTGGGGCCTCGCAACATCCTACAAATGTTCGACTGGATTGAGATCTGGGGAATTTGGAGGCCAAGTCAACACTTCAAACTTGTTGTGCTCCTCAAACCATTAATGAACCATTTTTGTTTTGTGGAATGATGCATTATCCTGCTAAAATAGGCCAGAGCCATCAGGGAATACCGTTTCCATGAAATGGTGTACATGGTCTGCAGCAGTGCTTAAGTAGGGAACATGGATTTCAGTATCCTGGTGCCAGGTGTTCCAAAGTAAGCACCAGGCATTGATTTACAAAGAAAACATGACTCATCAGACCTTCTTCCATTGCTCTGTGGTCCAGTTTTGATGTTGTTGGAACTTTCAGCAGTGGACACTCTGACTGGTCTACAGCGATGCAGCCCATACGCAACAAATTGCAGTGAAATGTGTATTTCGAAGCCCTGCGACAGACTGGCGACCTGTCCAGGGTGTACCCCGCCTTTCGCCCTATGACAGCTGGGATAGGCTCCAGCGCCCCCCGCGACCCTGAAAAGGATAAGCGGAAGCGAATGGATGGATGGATGTGTATTTCGAAACCAACATCAGCATTTTGAGTTACAGCAGCTCATCTGTTGGATCAGACCACACGGGCCAGCTTTCACTCCCCACATGCATCAATGAACATTGCCCGCCGATGACCCTGTTGCTTGTTCACAGCTGTTGCTTCCTTGTATCACTTTTAATAGATACTGACCACTGCAGACTGGGAGCACCCCACAAGTGTCATAGGTAGGACCCAAACGTGGGCCTCACGGAGCACAACGTGAAAACTCAAAAACAGGTTTATTGCTTTGAAAACTTAACCAAAACATGAGGCAGGAACAAACCATCTAAACTGGGAAAAACATGAGCAGGAAGAAACACACTTATCTGACTGATGTGACGGGGGAAGCAAAACTGAACATCATACACACAAGAATGAAAAGAACTAAATAAAACAGGAAGTAAAAACACTGAGACCACAACTAAGACATGTGAACTTGACAGAGCGATTGGAGAATAAACACACAGAGACATGACTGACTGGGGGGATGAAGAAAGGGAACAAAAACATGATAACTAAACACTGACTTACCTAATAAGGAACACAGACTGGAAACAAAGGGAAACTAACATAATCAAACAAGAAACTATGAACCACAAATAGACATAATGAAACTCAGAGGCACTAGGAAAAAATGAATAAATAGAAGACTATGAAGCTCCAAACCAAAACTCATCTTAACCAGAACGAACCAAAAACCCTATAGAACAGTGAGAACTATAATACAAAGATAATGAAAAACAATGAGAAAAAAGACAAAAGTCTGGGTCGACGAACCAAGGATCATGACATCAAGAGCTGCAGTTTTGGAGATGCCCTGACCCGGTCTTGTAGCCAACACAAGTTCAGTGTTATTCTCTTCACCTGTCAGTGGTCATAATGTTATGCCCGATTGCTGTATGTCTACAGAGTGCATTAAGTAAACCAATATTCCTACTGTTGTGTCACTGTGATGACTGAAATTTTTAAGTCCTAAAGGTTATTTTACCGTACGTCCAAATATTTCTTTCACCACCCTGAACTTCTCTTTGTTCACTTACCTTTGCCTGACAGGACAAGCCAAACTTGGCCCCAGAGACTCTGTTAATGCCAGGGCTGGAGCCTCTAATGAGTCAGCTTAACAATTGGAACTTTCCCATTTTTAGTCTTGTGGAGAAGACTCACGGCAAGACGGGCTGCATCCTCAGCCAGGTAAATACTCCGTTAGTGAGGAAATGTTGCAACTTTAATGAAAACAAATAATCATTAATTCAATAAACAGGAACTCATATTGTTGAGATTACATTTACAGTAGGCTTATGTAATTAGCAGCTTAACTGGATAAAGATGTTAGCTTGTTAATGCAGGTGGTGGAAAAATGAATTGATTTCTAATATGCATGATTTGATATCCAGGTGATTCACTGTAGTGTGTGTTTTCCTCGTGGTGGCATCTCCCAGGTTTCTTATAGGCTGTTTGAGGACACAGATCTGTTCGAGACCTTCAGGATTCCTGTGCGAGAGTTCATGAACTACTTCCATGCTTTGGAAAATGGATACAGGGACATCCCTTGTAAGTAGAAGGATCACATATTTAAGAAAAAAACAAAAAATGATCCATCATTACCTTTTGCTGCCACAAGGTGGATGTGTTGCTCATGAAATAAACTTTTAATAGCGCGTCTATTTTTCCTGCCTGCTGTTTACTGTGCAAATACATACTGAAAATGTGATGACATGAGCTTGAATTTATAGTGTGACAGATTAGATTATTTGAAGGAATATATTGTAAAATAGCTCCTAATCAAATACAAATAGATTTTAGCCTTTCTCTCAAAGCCTCCACAGGGTACATCAAGAGGGAATATTTTTACATGTTTGGGAATACTATGGATAAAGCCTACTTAGAGGCATCAATATCCATCTCATACATATGTGACGTTAATCAAACTATATCAGTCTTGTTGTCTATTTGTGACCCAGATTTTAAGCCATTGTTTGAATTGGCAGATTTACTCATAGCACTTCATTCATTATGCGAAAGACTGTGACCCAACATGTTTACAAGTTGTGTTCTTATTAAAAAACCTTCCAGTGAAACTTAATTAATCAAATCAATCAATTAATAAGTGTTTATTTTATATGGATTTTTATGTTACATCTCCATGTCTTCCATGGATTGTAACATTATTTTTCTGTAAAAACGAGAGAAGTCGCTTCATCAGCCATGCACTGATGCAGTAGTAATCCATAGTATACAGTATACTTATATGTATACCAACTTTACATATTATATCGCCAATATATTTTAAAAGGACACTGCTTGCATTGAGGCCCAATGAGGTGACTACCGTGATTGAGGGTATTTAAAACTAGTCAAGCTGGGACTTTTCCACTACACTCTTACCACCCACACTGTTGTGAATCAGCACTTCATTTTACTCTCCTCAGATCACAACCGGATCCATGCCACAGACGTGCTGCATGCTGTCTGGTACCTCACCACTCAGCCTGTGCCAGGACTGCCCACCCTGCTGACTGAGAACGGAGTACACACTGGTGCGCTGTCTCCTACACATACATTAATCTTCCTGATATTTCATGCAAAAAAAAAAATCACAATTTTAATTCCAGTCTGCCAGACTCTAGCAAGCCTGTTTCCACGTTGGTGTAAATCTTAAAGCTTAAGACACTCATAACTGTACCTAGACTGTACAGGACAGATATTCAGTCAGAGGATCAAAGTTCATAGATTGAAAATTAAGCTGACAATTTTGTTATTTATGCATTAATAACTTCTGTCACGAGGGACCAAGCTGAATAATTAGGACATACATTTAGTCGTTCTCATGGGTCCTGAACCAGAGCTAATGCTCACAACTTAACTAGATGTTGTCCTCAATTTTTATTCATGCTTGTTTACACGTTTTGGACGGCATCACAAGTGCAGTGTGATAGCAAAATTACCCAGATATTCCCATATTTATTTTTATTGAAAGTAATTTTTTAAAATAATTTTTTCCTCCTGTTTGGTCAATGGCAAGATACTAAAAGTTAGTGATAATGCTGGCATGTCCTGCAGAATGAAGTAGACTTGCAGGCAACATTTGAGAGGAGTGATCAGAGGTCAGAGTCACTGATAGTTTGCCTGTGTTGTCTCTTTGGATGTAGACTCACAGAACGGCATTACACCTGGTGCCACAGGATTCCTGGTGTCCAAAATGAACCCTGTGCTGCAGGAAGGCTATGGCTGCTTGGCTGGTCTTATCCCTGCCCTGGAGCTCATGGCCCTTTATGTAGCTGCTGCCATGCATGACTATGACCACCCTGGAAGAACCAATGCCTTTCTAGTAGCTACCAGTGCACCACAGGTAAATAAATACAGGAAAATGTTTGTGACCTGGAAGGCTTGAGGGAGGAGCCGTAGTGAGGGAGGAGCCGTAATGATGGCTCGATAGTGATGAATAAGACTGACGGATGGGAAAGTTCATTTACTGGGAAGCTAAAACTGGGAATGGAGTTGTGAAATGTCATCAATAAGGTCGCCCTGAGCGTTGTCCACATCAAGTTGTTGTGTGGATATTCATTAACCAAGTCCCTTCAGCAACTATACTGATCTTAGAATACTAACTGACTGAATTATTAGTTATGTGATAGTAATTAATGTTTTAAGGTAGATAAGCTCACAAAACTGAATGTCAGTAAGACGTCTTTTCATTAAGTTTATGTTTATGAAATGCTCCAGAGAGATGATAGGCAGCATATTACCAGTATTTATTTATTATGAGCAGTGTAAACCTTTATAACGGTTCAGATGTAATTATAATGAGATAAGAAGTAATGTAAGCTGTCACATTAACTGCGCTTTGAGCTAAAATCTGCTTGTTTTGCTTATAATTAATATGAATGAAGCCGCTTATCCTGTTATCAAATGTTGTTACAAATGTTGTTACAAGAGCGTAAATGGTGTGAATATAAACGTACATAATGCTCAGACATGAGTACTGTTGTTAAAGGGCTTTAAATGAACCAAATACAAACATCAACATACAGCCAAAAGCAGATTAAGTCGTTAGTCTAAGCAGTTTACAGTTGAGACTGAGGCAATGCAGATACTGCAGGTTTTAGGCAACATTATGGTAAAAAAGAAAGCCAGAATTAGCATCAACAAAAAAATGGATTCTTGTCAAAGTTTTGATTCATGTATGAGTTATTTTTATTTTTAGATTTTGGTGTACCAAATCCTACCTTAAAACCTAACATGTAATATTAAACATGGTTTAGTAAGCGACTCATTACTAAACTGGGAAGATTCATTCATTGACAGATATGAAATATTAATTTAAGTTTTTCCTTCTCCATTTTAGGCTCTTCTTTACAACGACAGGTCAGTCTTGGAAAACCATCACGCAGCTGCAGCTTGGAACCTCTTTATGTCTCGATCTGAGTATAACTTCCTGGTTAACCTTGAACACGTTGAGTTCAAGCGCTTCCGCTTCCTAGTCATTGAAGCTATCCTGGCCACTGACCTCAAAAAGCACTTTGACTTCCTCGCAGAGTTTAATGCCAAGGTAAATCAAATAAGCTACATAAACAGTATAAAACATGACCATCCATCATTCGTCTGTAATTACAATGCTGTTACTGACTCGACTTGATATTTGAATGCAAACTATGATGTGATGTTTAGAATCCCCATTTAACAGTTCAAATTTCTAAATGTTGCCAATACAAACAAGACGCAGAATTTAAAGCACAGTTTCAACGATAAACATTTTAACGAGACATTTTATGAAACTTTGACCTTATCTGACCTTGAAGAAGAGCTCAGAGGTCAAACGTGACACATTGTAAATCCTTAAATGGTACTTTCTATATATTGACAATACACGTTTTCCACCAACAACTTATTAAATTTTACCTTGAAGACCTTTATAATCCAAATTCTAATGGATTGTTAACGTCACAATAATCTACACGCCTACAAAGTTTTATTAGAAATCATTCAAAAATTTTGAGCTATCACGTATATGGACAGAAAGAGTGATACACACATGCAAACACTACCAAAATCATAACCTCCTTGAAAGAGATAATAAACATTTACTGCAGGCTCTTTTAATTTTTTTTCTGTAAAGGTCTCTTTCTGAAGTAACAGAGAATGTCTTTTTTTCACATTGTCTTAAATGCAAGGTCTATAAACCTTTCTACAACTAATCTATAAGCTCTGTTTTTGTTTTTGACAAAAACATCTTTCTAATTCCTTAGGTAGGGGATGAAGGAGTGTCTTGTATTGATTGGACCAATGAGAATGATCGATTGCTAGTGTGCCAGATGTGCATCAAGCTCGCTGATGTCAACGGGCCACTGAAGTGTAAGGAGCTGCACCTACAATGGACAGAGGGGATCGTCAATGAGTTCTATGAACAGGTATGTTCATGAAAATGTCTCCAATATATTCAGAGCGCAGTTTTGTTAAGTGTTCCCTTAAAAATAACTGCTTTCTAAATGTTCAGCATTTCACATAAAACTAACAAAACACAAAAAACACAAGAATCATTTCAAAAAGAATTCTACCAAAATATTCTTTCTTTAACTCTACACTTGCCCAAATCTTTAAATTTAAACAAAAAAAAAAACTACTTAATAAAATCAACCATTTATTACTTATATATCAGTAATGGTTTAACATAATAAAACTCTACCTAAAAGCCAGTGTGATCAGACTGGATATTTTGCTAAAGCCTAACTTGTGTGCCAAAGTACAAGGAATTGCCAGATGCCACAAACCAAATAGTTATACAAAAAACTTTGAAATACAGGAAGTGCTGTGATGCACAGGAGCGCCTCTAGTAGTGTTTTCACTGTCATCATTTGTAAATAAACCAAAGTCCTGTTAGGAGTGGCTGTTGCAGAACGTTTATTAGATCATTAATGAGAGATATGAGGTCATTTTTCTGTAATCGATTACTAACATAGTTTATGTATGATAAATATCTCAGTATTATTTCAATATTTCAGTCACATGAAAAATTATAAAGCTATGACAAGTTAAAACTATTTTACATTCAGGGATTAGGAGTTATTAATTGTAATTCAAGCTAACTTTCTGTACAAAAACAATACTTATTGTGTTTGATATCACTGTTTTACTAACGAATCCTGTCAATATAAACCAAAATCTTGTGAGAGTTAACCAAAAATGTTCTCGTCTACAGCCTTATCAGTGATAAACACAATGTGATTTTCAGTGAAGGAAAATCCAAACACAGAACATTCACAGGAGTCAGTCAACATGACAAATAAATCCAGTGGGCAAAAAAGAGTAAAGAAAAAAAATCTAAAAACAGAGGTCAGAGTTCACACAGAAGAAAACAAGGCAAGACAGAAAACACAACAAACACTAAGAATTCCCGGAAACCTTCCAGATTCCTAATTTCTTTCTAAGTACATTCTTCATTCCTTTCTTTGAATCCTCTTAACGTCTTAGGCCCTTCTGCCAGACATGTGAGTAGAGGAGGCGAGTAAGAGCCACGGGGAGTCAGTCAAGGAAACAGGCATTTAACTAAATGAGACATCCTGGCTTTGGAGTCGGATTTTTAAAACAATGTCAAGTAAATATGATGTTTGGCATGGCGGCATCCTAAATTGTTTTGGTACAGACCAACTACTGCTGTGTTTCATTATTTCAGAAGTCATTCAAGCATAACAGTGTGCTTCACAACTTTATTATTGAGGCCATCTTTCAAATAAATTGACAGTGTGTCAAGATATCATACCTTTTTCTTTTATCAAACAAATACACGAGTAGTGAACTGAACAGTTCCTAAAATAACTTATTTGTAGATCCCTCCTCCCAACGTGGTTTGTGTATTTCAGCAGTTTAGCACAGAGGTAACAACACTTCCACACAAAGGATACACCTGTTGATCCTTCATTACATCTGCTCTGACAAGCTTTCTGTCTCCTCAATCCTCTGTCCTTCAAATTCATTTTAGGAACTGAGACAGTCATGTAATGAGATTGCTGTCCAGGTCACAGGCAGGGGGACGGAAAAGACGAGAAAAGAGGAAAAGTCTCTTGACTACACAAAGTAGCAAGACAATGAGGCAGGGAATAAAGGAAACTGGGAGAGTGACATTACAGAGGTGACAGGAAATAGGAAATAAAAGCTAAGAAACAGACACAATGAACTAAACCTTTAAAAACTTCCAGTATGCATGAAAGGCATTTCATTTCTTGCCCCTAGAACATTTCTCTAAGGTATAAATGTGTAGCCACATGTTCCCTCTGACAATAACTGAATATTGAAAACATTTACCTATTAGCTCATGTATTTATTACAGCCGCTGTAGATGGATGCCTGGCAACAAATCCTGCTATAAACTCACAAGACCATAAAGATAACAAGCAAGGATTTTGTAGACAGCATAGCACTAATTTGAAAACTTTATTTATTTCTCAGCGGTACCCACAATATAAATTCCTCTCAAATCAGGTCTTTATGTTAGACATACAGGCTGGGACAGAAGCTTGTTATCACAAGGTTGCTTTGACAGCCACCAAACTTAGCATCAGAATGTGTATTATCTATTTAATCCTTTTTAATGAAGGGAAAACTCAGAGAAAGGATATCAAACCAGTGTTCAGCAGCGAGAAACCTCTAATCTGAACATTGCTGATTCCCGAGGAAAGCGACATGCCTCTCATGTCTGCTGCTTAGCATTCTGGTGTTCCTCTGGAAGCTTTGGCTCAGTTGTCTTAAAAAACTTTATGGATTATGTAAGTCCTTTGAGTGACAGCATCCCGGGGGGATGGGGGTTGGGGGTGAGAGACAGGGTGGCGAGAGACAGAGCGTATGCGCATGCTTTGCTTTCATAGAGGCGCATGACCTAAATGTGCCATCCTTTGACAGCCCTCATTCACAGTCGCACTGAGGAAGATCACAAGTGGGACGAGGCTCTCTGTGACATCAGAGTCAGCGCAGATATAAACGCACACACACACACAAACATGCGTGAATTTTCATCATGCACTGCAATGCACCAATTTGATATTCTACACTTTAAAAATACTCACTTAAAACAAAGTTTCTCTGTTTGATTGTGCCGTGTCTATAAATACACACACACACACACACACACACACACACACACACACTTTTCACACACAACCACTAGTGCAGTGCACTGACGCCATCCAGGTTTCTGGTTTCCATAGCAATTGGAGCTCTTGGCCCTCTGTCCTCCCGGTGAATAGCTTTGAAAGCTCTAACATCATATAACAAACATAAAAGCACAGTACAGGACTGTCACGATGTATTAAAATACAATACAAGCTGTGTGGCCGTGGGTAATCCAACACAAACCACACGATTTGGGGCAGATATGACTCCGCTTTGGTTTTCTTTATGTGGCCTCCATTTACAGTATACGACTGTTACATAGATAAATACTTAAACAAATCATAATTACAGTTTATCTGATGCGGAGTCGTGCACCCAATCTATACATACACAGCAAAGATAATTAGATTTGTGTCTGTGTTTACTGGTGGTGACCATGTGGTTACAAATATAAAGATCACAGTCACCATTACTCTGGAAAATTTTTGCAGGCAGCCTCATTTGGATGACTGATACATACAGATCGGCCATAGTTTGAACTGATGTTTTTCTATTTGTAGTCTTCTTGACCTACTTTCAGGAGACTGTGCCCAGAGGCAGCATATCTGGAAGTTTCTGTGCTTGCCACTTGAGTTATACAGAAGACTAGATGCATAGCTGTGTTTACCTTTGAGTGATATCGTGTTTAATTCATATATTGATTTATTTTAATACAGAAATTCGTTTATGCTGTGTAAAAGCCCTTATTCTCTGCCATCTTTAAAAATGTACAGCTCTTGAAGGAGAGAGTGCAAGACACATCATTTATATTTAATAATTCCTGTTATTCTTACATTTTCATATTTGTACTCTGCCAGGGCGATGAAGAATCATCCCTGGGCCTTCCCATCAGCCCGTTCATGGACAGGTCTGCTCCACAGTTAGCTAAACTGCAGGAATCATTCATTACTCACATCGTGGGACCACTGTGCTCCTCCTACGACTCAGCTGCTCTTATGCCGGGACACTGGGTTGATGAATCTGAGGGAGACCAGGAAGGACAAGATACAGAAGAGGAGGACGAGGATATGGCAGATGAGGATGCGTCAACAAGTTCTGACACCTCGCGTATGTCAGTCTCTTGATTATTCATGTTATAGGGAATACCTAACGTATGTCGCTGAATCGTTCCTGTGAGTATTCACTGCATGGGAGGACATGTTCCAGGATAGACTTTCTGTCATTATTTTTGACTCATTTATCGACATTTAATGCAGCTAATTTCTGCTGCTGTGATAGATGCAAAAAAGACACACAGTTGAGAACACTATTAATTACTACACATATTCCTAATGGGATAAATAGTTATCATTTGCTTTCTTGCAACAACAAGTGCAACAGTTATCATCAGCATCTATAATTTATTATTAGAAATTCCAGTTCTTTTGATTTTTATATATATGATGCTCATTTCATCATCCCCCTGCAAGTGCAATGTTAGTTTCTCTTTTTACAGTACCGGTAGTTACGTGCGTCACGCTCCCTTTATTCCTGTAAGTAAAAATAAAAACAACAAACAAGGAAACCACAGTACTCTTAAATTTTGCTTTTAGCACAAAAAGAATATATGTGTGTATATATATATATATATATATATGTTAATTATCTCACTGTAAAGGTGCAGACTCACTGTTTTCTTGTTTCATGCCTTTCTCGTAACGCATGTGTAAAATGAATATGATTCCTATCTTGTAGCTCTCTGCAAGAGAGCAAATGAGCACGTTTCCCGAAAATCTTCTATTTCTACTCTTTTTCAATCCCAGAATCTTCTCTAACTGTTGGTTTTCTGTCTGACAGAGCGGCAAGAAGCCAAAAAGGTAAGCAGGAGGAAAGTGTTTTGCCAGATCACACAGCATCTTTTGGAAAACCATGAAATGTGGAAAAGAGTGCTTGCTGCAGAAGCCCAGGAGGAGGCTCAGGAAGAGAATCCAAACTGCATTGGCAAGCCCACCGATCCAATAACAGCCATTCACGAGGAAGAGGAGGAGCAGGCAAGCAAAGAGGAGTCGACTGATGGCCTTAATGAAAGGGAAGAGGTGCCAGCTATAGAGGAAGAGGAGATCTTTCCACAATTGGACACTTCAGGAGAAAAAGAGGAAGAACCTGAGTGAAATGATGAACTCTGACCTCCTCTTAAACCAGGAATCTGAACGTTGTCCAAAACGTTTTTGGGTTTTTTTGTTTTTCTTTCCTAACTAAACTCTTTATATGGTAGCCAGCACATCACTTTGACACAACACTGTAGAGGATGTTTTGGGTAAAATGTGCCTAACAAAAACAGGGTTGAGGACAGGGATAAACTCGTACCCAGTGCATCTGACGAGGAGAGAGATGTGAGATGAGCAAGAAGATGAAGCGACAAATGAGGGAAAATAGAGAAAAACTCAGACTGAGTAATCAAGATGGAGTGCATTTGTTTGTTTTGCTGTTTGTTTTAGTTTGGATTTGGCACCCAGACTGCTCATCTTGCACTATGGGCCAACCACGCTGATTCACATCTTCACTCCACCAGTGAGTAATACACTGTCACCCCGCTCCCCCCCTCCCACACACACACTCCTGTCTTTAGTTCCCATGCTATCAGCACACTTTGGAGCCACGCAGCTGCTCGAGGATGTGCACCAGGCCCCTTCTCCGTGAACACAATGGGATGAAAGCCAGCGGAAAAGCCGTGTCCACTGAGCCTCTGCCACGTGAATTTCAGGAGGAGATTGAAAAAAAGAGCCAGTGGTCATGCATTGTGTACACACACTTCACACAGACACACACAGTGCTATAGCAGAAACACACTCCATGCTCAGAACAGATAGGAAGTTTAACAAAGAACTCTGTTGCACCAAAAGCTTTATTCTCATTCAAGGAAAAACATACAAAGCAATGTTTTGTTCTTGTCAAACAATGTTAGTCAGCAATCATTTCTCCCTTTCTTTTGTTATAATCGGTTCAGCGCACCTACACGTTTCCAGTCTGCATAACTCAGGAAGGCAGAAACCCTTAGAGATCGAGAAACAAAAAAAGGACCTCTAGTGTTCTTGTCCTTTTAATTGTCACTGCTTCTGCCTTTTTTGTCACTTCAGTGCGTCCCCAGCAGAGTGTGGTTCTCTTTGTGCAACACCTAATGCACATTAATGTTAATCACACTACAGCTAACTCTCAAGAAAGAAACCAGTCGGTAATATAAGGTGTTTTCATATTGCAGGCACATATAATCTGTGCCCACATTTATGGGAACTCTCAACTTGGATCAATCTTTAAGGGATTTGTTAAAGAGAAGAGATTCTGTTTCTCTCCAGTGTAACTTATAGGCTGGTATGTAGGCCAAATGTTTCAGAAAGTGCAGTAATCCGCCATAGTGGACTAGGCCAGAGCTGAGTCACAGCTCCAAATTACCCAAGAAGATTTACGTTAATAAGACATTTCAACACTGTGAGGCTTATTGCCATGCAGGAGGTGCTGTGCGCCCACAAAAAAACTATACATGGAAGCGTAGGACCGGGTCCACACGCATAGGGGTATTCTTTCAAACAGGGGTTTTCTTTTGTTGTTCTAAGTAAATAAATCTGATAAAACACCCTGAAAATGTTTCTGTCCACATGAATGCAAAAGCAGTTAACGAGCCAAAAGTCAGTGATGTACATCTACAGTTGCTTAAAATTGCCTCATGTAAACAAAAGATATGATAGCGTGAACTTTGACCTCTCGAGCCAAAAAACCTTTAGAAAGAGTTTAGAAATATCAGCACCATGAAGCCTATCTGTGTTTTGGAGTGACTTTTAATGATACATAGAAAAAGCTGTTAAAATAACTTTAATGAACTAGTTGTTTCACTTCCATAAAAAGCCAAAGAAAGTTATAGTGGAAACAGTAAGCCCCTTACATTTCTGAATCCAGCTTAATAAATAACCACATGTACACAAATATATGATATTTACTATCTATTTATTGAATGATGTAGTTTACCTACTATTTTTTAAGAGACTATTTCTCTTCACTTTTATTAATGTCACTGTTTGCGCTCGTCTTTGATGTCCTTGGACATTCATATTTGCTGTAATGGAAGAAAATGTGTGAAAAAAAAGAACAGCCTCGGTAATGAGGCTTATTAATGGAAGAATCCTTTCAGCTGGACTTGGAGCTGCTCATGAGAGGTCAGAGGGGTCTCAGATCTTTGTCACAGTTCAGCTGATTCTTTCTGGTGTAAGTCTTTGAAGATGAGCCAGTTCAGTTGGATTCAAAATCATGTGATCATCCACTTCTCCAATTCTCCAAACCGTATTACAGGGATATGCAGTGTAGTGTATTTGATCTGACGTCAGAAAAGCAACAGGGGCTCTTTGTGGATTCAGATCTCAAGAATTTAGGTTACTTAGTTTCTTCATGCAGTGAGCTGTAATGGACAGTTGTTTTTCTTTTATCATATTTGCAAAATAAAAAAAGGATGCATTCATTTTGACAAGACTTTTTTTGGGAACCTGCCTGACACTTTAGGTAGGATCAAGGTAGAGATATCGAAGAGGCAGTACAGCATTGTTGACCTGTAGCAATGGATTTTCTGCTTCTGTGGTAAATCTCTGTAGCAGTTTGACAGATTTTATTATTTCATAACGCAACAATTTCAAATCCCTCAAAGAGTGTAAACAATTTGAAGCCACAGACGTCACGCGTGACAGGCGATACGCTAGCTTTGGCTTGGCAATTCTACTTGTACCTGAAGTGATTAGACAGGGATTAGAGGAGAGCATTAACAGGGCGGAAACATTTACAATGAAAACAGCACCGCTGAAATTAAACCTTAAAAGAAAACTGTGACAGAAATATAAAAAGCAGCATTACACTTTTCAGTAAGTGTACACTTTATGCAGTTAGATGTTAAACACTGGATCTCAGTCACTAAGAAATCCATCAAACAGGCTTGTTTGCTTATTTTTACTGGCTACCTTTACTTGTCCTATTGTAACCCAATTTCTTAACTCAATTAGAGTTTTGCTAATACTCTGGTAATACTGTGTAAATCTGCAGCTGTATCCATTGCACTGTTATCAAAATGTCCATTGTGCAAAGGAGGGCTAAACAGTGCAGCATAATTCCCTTTACTGCTTATACCCTGTACTTACAAAGGAGTGCAGTACCACAGCTTCTTTTTTAATACTATGAAAAAAAAGGCCTGCGCTAACTAAATCCTGGGCTTTTTGTTCATGTTTCAGTTCAAGTTGAAAGCCCTTTGGTGTTTAAAGTCTTTTTTATTTACAGTTGCTATCACTCAAACTCAAAGAGGGAAAAACTTAATTAGGTTTTCATTAATAAATTATATGTAGCAAAAACACAAATCAAAGCAGAATTACCTTCAGCATTGATGTCAATCACACAAAAGTCCCTGACTAAAAATCTTTTTTTTTTTAAATTTGACAATTAAAAGAAAAAGGAAGAAAAAGTAAAGGCAAATCGATATGTGATTTGTTTGGTAGCAAAAACTGCAGCACTAGTCATATTTGCATATTTGTAGCATGTGCGGCAATCCGCTCTTGGCTTTACGTGTCACTTCCTGGACCAGTCGTCTTCCACTAGCCTTTCTTTGCATTGGCTTGTTCTGATAGGTTCGCTTATAGCAGGTAAAAATGACCTGTACACACCAGCTGATACACAACAGAGCAACACAACTGTAGATCAAGACATTATTTAGGTTTGCAAGCTTTTGAACTTGAGTTTTAAAAAAACATCGACCCACCTCACTGCAAGAAGCTGCAAGCGTCCTGTCGTACACGTGAATGAGCATGAGCGCCATGCGCTGTAAATACCTGATGCACTATAGAGTATATCAGTACCTCACGTATAATCTAATGTGAACTCTACTACATTGGATATTTCATGTTTCACACCTGTATGGTCCCATTCTCCACCTGTGTTTGGGGGTTTTGTAGACTGTTTCAGATCTCTTTACTTTGTTTTATCAGAAATTTGAAACTTAACAAAAGAGAAATTTACCCTTTGGACACTTCAAAGAGACTTAAGTCAAAGCTGTGATATCGTTTCAAGTTGTTATTTGGTTTATTATCATATTCATTTCAATAATCCAAGAACACTGCAGCGTGTTGCTGTGTAACATTTTAGGGTTTTAACTAGAGATGAATGATGAACCGGTCAAGGTTTCAAGGGTCACGTGTTTTAGCTTCTCACTACAAATCATATTCTTTAATCGTTGCTAACCATATTTCAATAAGGACCGATCACTCGGAAGAACTGAACATAATTTATTGAGAAAGAGGAGTTAATGTGTTTGACTCCAATGAGCCATCATGGCAGAATGGAATCCTAGCAGTGCAAGGATTTAGGACAGGACCCACCGGCGTCTAGATGCTGGTGGTGGCAGTGAAGACTGAGGCTTGAATAGAGCTCTGACTGAAGTGGCTGAGGTGGAGATGGGAAGGAGGTGGTACACAGGACAGACAATCTGAAAGGTAGAATGACGGAGAGCACAGATTTAAACCATTCTAAGTGCAGGCTGATTGGCTCAAAGAAGGCAGGCAAGAAGATGATTGGACTAGTGTCATGATGTCAGGATTGAGAATGACAGCGTGCGAAAGGGGTAGACGTGTGAAGAGAAAAGCAGCCGAACACCCAGGAAAAGCAGGCAGATGGGTGAATACAGATCTTCCTTATTGAACTAACTTAAGCTTCATTTAAATGTACGCTTTACAGTTTTAGATTTGAGTCTTTCCTGCATTTCAAGGCAGCCGTTGGTTTTGTTTCATATATGCACAATAATTAAAGAAGGAAAATCTGTTAGCACATGCTAGAAATTTACTCGAGGTTGACAACGCATTCAAGTGAGAAAAACAGTTATTTTTGCTAATGTTTTAATATTGTTGAATCCATCATGTAATTTAAATCGAGCTTTGCATTATGTCAAGAAAACTTCATGAAGACCTAATGTTAACTGAGACGTAATAGATAACTTTTAAAACGTTTTGCATAACTAACAGGAAACCAAAGAAACCCTGTTTTGTGAAACACGGCTGCATTGTGTAATTTAAAGTATACACTATAGCTGATTTGGAGTAAATAGGCCGATACATGGAAAGCTAGCGACATGGTTAGCTGAAGAATCTGAGTAAAAAATTCTTTACTAACACAAAAAATGTCACATCTGTCAGCTTTTTGTTCTTTGTCATCACAGCAGCACTGGTCAGTGATTTGTACCAGGCAATCACATGGCAGTCATAACTCTTATTTTCTCTTAATTGAAAAAAAAACAAAACAATATTAGAAATATTAGTTATAAAAAAAGAGAGAAACAAACAAGAAAACTGCAGGGTCACAAACTACCCAGTTATTTCACTTTATACGAGCCAGCATGAGCCAGTTTCCTTTAAATGTTGAGGGGGAGATTGCCAAACACTGGATGAGCTTGTGCAAACCAAAGAAACTTTTTGAACGATGCGTTTTTTTGTGATTTGCACAGAAACAAGCCCTAAAAGGAGCATGTTTTTGGTCAGTGTTATTCCAATACTGGTGAGGGTATCTGAATATGCATATATATTTTGTTCTGTGAAGATAAAAATGAATTCAAGAATTATTGGTATCCATCTGGCATCACCACCGCTCACGGTGACGTGCACGTTAACTGCCTGTTATTCTTTCACTGCCATGTCAACAGGCACCAGTAGCAATGTAACCGGCCTACTGTTCTGTTCGTAGACTGAAGCTCTTGTACTTGTTTTTTTCTTTTCTTATTTGAACCAAAAAAAAAACCTTTTCTTTTTGTATTGTTTGTTGTTTTGGCCCGTTTCAAAGGGGAACATGCTCCTGTGCCATTTTCACATATATGTATGTAGACATTGTTTGAATGCTATATTCATTAGTTTTCCTCTTTTGTCAGAAAGGAAACCAAAAGTCTTTTTTTCACAACTTTAAGCACGATAAAGGAGACTGGTATGTTTTTATCTACTATAGCAGGCACTTCACAGATTCAATTCTTTCCTTCTCTTTAGTATCTTGCACTTAAACACATGTAGCAATACCAACAGGATGAAGAAAATGTGTGATTCACCAATATTTAAGTGAAATTTGACATTTTATTTCAAGATATTGTTTGACTTTGTATAAAAAATATATACTGTACAGATTCAAAAGTATATTATGACAAAAAAAACTTTTAGAAAAATATTTATTTTTACTGTTTTGGAATTTAGACACAATACTGTAGCTCCTCTATTGCCAGACTTACTGGAAGTGCCTCTTGATAATGTATTACAAAATAACTATACAATATATTGGGATTATTAGAACCTGTCACTAGCAGAGCAGTGTTGTTGTTGTAATGTGAATATTGTTGAATAATAACATTTATAAATGCTTCACGTGTGTGTCTTTCTTTGGTCATTTCTCCAAAAACTCACAGGACTCGCTCTTTAAAGAAATACACAGATATGTTTTATTATGGTAATGTGTTTTCTGCATGACAGAAATTTGAATTTATAATTACACTTTAGAATGTACAGTCACCGGCCACTTTATTAAGAACACATGTTCGACTGCTTGTGAGCGCAAAGATCGATTATATGACAGAAACTCAGTGCATTAAGGCATGCAGACATTGTCAAGAAAACTTCCTGATGTTCAAATCGAGCATCAAAATGGGGAAGAAATGTTATTTATCTGAATTTGAATGCGACATGGTTATTGGTGCCAGACAGGCTCTTCTGATTGTTTCAGAAACTGCTGATCTGCTGGGATTTATCCAGTGAGCGGCAGTCCTCTGGGTCAAAATGTCTTGCTGAAGTCAGAGGTCAGACGAAAATAGCCAGAAAAGTTGGAGCTGACAGGAAGGCAACAATAATTCCAATAACCACTTGCTTCAACCAAGGTGTGCAGAAGAGCATCTGTGAATGCACAGCACACTGAACCTTGAGGCAGATAGGCTACAGCAGCAGAAGACCACGCCGAATGCCATTCCTGTCAGCTAAGAACAGGAAACTGAGGCTACAATTTGTAAAGACCTATGAAGAAATTGGACAACAGATGAGTGGGAAAATGGTGCCTGAGTCTCACTTTCTGCTGAAATATTTGAATGACAGAGTCAGAATTTGCATAAACTACATGAACAGCTGCCTTGTATCGATGGTTCAAGCTAGTGTTGGTGCAATAGTGTAGAGAATGTTTTCTTGGCACGCTTTGGGCTCCTAAGTACCAACTGAGCATTGTTAGTGCCAGAGTCTACCTGTGTATTGCTGCTGACCATGTCCATCCCTTTATGACTACCCACTACTACTACTCTTCTGATGGATGCTTCCAGCAGTATAACATATGTCATAAAGCTCAAATCATTTCAAACTGGTCTCTTGAATATGACAACCATGTTCATTGTATTGAAATGTCCTCCACGGTCACCAGATTTCAATCCAAAAGAGCAACTGTGGGATATGGTGGAACAAAGGATTCACATCGTGGATGTGCAGCCAGCAAGTTTGCACCAACTGTGTGATGTCATCATGCCAATATGGAACAAAATGTCTTCTGCACTGTTCTGGACAGAGATCGCACACGTCAGTCCAGGATCCATCCTTAGTCACTCACCCAGTTCACTACCCTGTGGTCAACGTCTGAGCCAGTATGGCTTCAGTTATACTGTATGACTCTCGCTCATATTCGAGGTAGGCTTGGGTAGCATGGGGGCTAGTCTGGGCCCCCCTACTGGATGCACACACCTTGGATGCTCACAACACATGAAACTGGGTTTAATCTTACTAGTGATGTCATGTTTTTGTTGTTTTAAATGAGTATCAACTCAGTCCTTACGTTCTTAAAAGTCCTTTAGACATATAGCTCTCTGAATAATTCTATAATTCTAAACCTTTTTGTCAAATTAATGGAATTTTTTAAAAGTTATTAGTATTTACTAATTCTGATGTAGACAGTCAAATAAATCAGCTGCATCTCCTCTCTAGTACAGATTGAAATGTGTTTATTAATCTTGTTTTCACTAAAGCTGCCTTTCTCTTGAGGTGGTCTTTGTCAGATTGATTTTACGTCAGCCTTTGGAATTTACTGGTGAGTGTATTAAATATCATGGCACATCTTTTCTACCATTTGCTCTGTGAACTGAAAATATAGGACAAGTTTTGCCCTTGATCTTTATGATGTGCTACGTTTCAGTCAGATGGTTTATGCACAAGCCAGTGCCCTACATTTTTCTCTCAGTTTTCATTCTGTATTCTGCAAGGAATACATGTACACTCTCCAG